TAGGATTCTTAGCACATAATCCTAGCAGTGGAATTGCTGGGTCAAAAGGCAGGTCGATTTTTATTTTTCTGAGAAAATTCCATACTGTTTTTGGGGTCCAAATTTTATTCAACACTGTGGCTCAGTGCAATTTAGTTTGTCATTTAATGCTATAAACTGCTGATGATACATAAATCAGTCAGATTTTCTTCTTTTTCTCAATATCTCATTTTCCCTTTAGTAAGTAATGCATGCTTTTTTTTTTAATTTTGAAAAGTTCTAAAAAGTTGGAAAAAGTAAACATGTCACTGTAGTTTTACCATCTGTATAATCAGGCTTCACAGCTTGAACACAGAATAGACTCGAGCTAGTTTATAGAGGAAGGGAGTTTATCTGAAAATGTTAGGCAGGGCCAATCTTCCTATCAGGCCAGTAGACATGATGCTAATGACCTACAATGCTTTCGGGGGTTTTAATATTTTTTAAGATCTGAAGAAAAAAATTGTTGGAAAAATTTTATTATGTAGTAGTATTATATCAATTTTTATGTCAGTGCAGTCATGAAGTCTAATTACATACACAAACACATGTATTGGTGTGTGTGTGTGTGTGTGTGTGTGTGTGTTATGGGAAAAAGGTCTGCTGAAGGCAAAAGTGCATAGGATCCCTTCAGGTTTTAAAGAAACACAGGCTCAGGCTCAGAGGCTGCCCACTCAGGAGCCCCAAGCTTAACCACAACCACATGAGCATCACTCCAGGACAACCCCCGGGTTACTGATGCTACCACAGGCTCCACCGCCCCCACATGGGCCTGAGGGTACCTACTGTGCCCAGAATGCCTCTCAGAGCTAGTGAAGATGTCAGCTTTCAGAGTGGATTGTCAGATGGATTCTGCAAAGCATGTGCTGCTGAATCAAAGCCTTGTACAACGTTATCTTATCAGAAAAGTCTAGGTCATACACTCCCCCCCTAACATTCTCAACGTATGAGAGGTCTGTCTGGGGAAAAGTCAAACCATTGTTAATATAACAAGAATGGCTTGGATGACATTGATATAACCTAGCAATGAAGGAGAGTGGACTGCAGTGCACATGTGTGAATAATGATGACTTTGCTGTGTAGACACCATTGAGTGAGCATGTGTGCTATATGGCCATTGCATTAAAAATAACTGGGCCAGTAGAGTGATGAGTCCACATCAAATTTTGCATTAAGCTTGAACATTCCTCCAACAGAAACTATTCGGATGATTCAGAAGGCTTTTGGGGATGGTGTAATGAGTGCAGTGCAAATAAAAGTGTGGCACAAATGCTTCAAAGATGGTCAAGAATCTGTTGAAAGTGATCCACGTTCTGGAAGGCCTGCGACAAACGGAACACCTGAGAGTGTTGAACGTGTGTACGGGCTGCAATAAAGAAAGATTGGTGACCAACTGCACAAGAACTGGAAGCTGATATGGGGATTCCTAAAGCCACTGTGTCTGAGATTTAGGCAGAAGATCTTAGCATGAAATGTGTCCTGGGAAAATTCATTCTGCAGCTTCTGCTACCAGAGCAGAAGTAACATTGTGCTGCAGTTGCTAATAACTTGATTCAAACCACTACCAATGAACCAGATTTCCTCAAGAAGATCACAGTAGGAGGTGAATGGTGGGTCTAAGGCTATGGTCCAGAAGGCAATGGTCTACGGCAATGTGGTAGCTATATCAAGACCATGTTAATTGTTTTTCAATTGGAAAGGTGTTGTCCGTCATGAGTACGCCCCTCCAGGCCAAACAATTAACAAGGAGTACTGCCTTAACGTTCTTTGTTGGTTGAGAGATGCAGTACAGTGAAAATGGCCACAGCTATGGGCAACTGGTGATTAGCAGCTTTATCACAACAATGCACTGCTTATGTATCACATCTTGTACAGAGTTTTTGTCCAAACATCCAATCACCCAAGTGACTCAGCCCCCTACAGTGCAGATGTGGTGCTCTGTAACTTATGCCTTTTCCCAAAACAAAAGTCACCTTTGAAAGGGGAGAGGTTTCAGATTGTCAATGAGATTCAGGAAAATAAGATGGGACAGCTGATGGTGACTGGGAGAACTGTGTGAGGTCCCAAGGTGCCTACTTTGAAGGGGACTGAGGCATCAATGTGCCATGTACAATGTTTCTTGTATCTTGTATTTTCTTCAATAAATGTGTCTAGGTTTCATATTACATAGCTGGATACTTTCTGAACAGACCTCATTGTATATCACTTTAGGGATAATTTAGCCTCAACAGGTAATGAAGTCTGAGAAGTAGATTTCTGGCATCCACCCTGGTGATGTGTAAACTTTAAAGGTGGGATATTTTCTAAATTGGGAGGACGTTCCAAAAGTACTGAACAGCTGAAAATCCACCACACAAAACTACTGCTCACACATTGATATATTGATATTTAGACTATCTGGAATGCATAGGTTTTGTTTTTATTTAATAGTTCAAAGGTAAGCTATGTAAACTGCAATTACTGAATACTTATTATGTGATAGGTACTTTTAATACTATTTGAATCATATAAGTTTATTTTTAATTTAAAAAGACATTTTGAGATAGGGAATCTTGTTACTACTTTCCAGGTTATAAATGAGGAAACTGAGGCTGAAGGAGACGGGGCGATGCAGTTAAATACTGGTGGGGATGGGGATTTCTGCTGAGCCTTCCTGCTCTGCTGCACCTGTTACATGTTGCAATCCACAACTTTAAATCCTGCTTTTTACCTTTAATATTTCGGGATAAACCTTTTTAAATCTGAACTTTCAACTCTTCTTTTTAACATGACACAATAGTCCATCAAATTATTATAGCAATGTTTTCAAACATTTCTCTACTGTATTTAGTCTGTTTCCACGTTTTTCCTATTTTAAGTAGTAATGTAGTAATTCTTTACATATAAATTTTAAAAAATTGTTAGCATTACTTCCCTAGAATAGAAACTCAGAATTGACGTTACTAGATCAAAGGATATGAAAACATATTTCTGAGAAGCCAGCACCACACTTTATTTACTTGAAAGGTGAAGAGATGAGCTCACTAATGCACTGGTACACTCAACACATTTATCGCCTTCCTCCTGTGTCCTGGCCGTGGGACCTGTGCTGCCACCGCGAATGTCTGACAGTCACTTGCCGAAAAGGCATCATGGTTTAGGAAGTGTTAGAACAGGGTGTGCCTGCGAAGAGCATCTCCTGTAAATTATGTACGGTGAAAATGCTTCCTAGGTTTTGTGGGACAGGGTCAAAATACTTCTAGAGCTCTTAGGATTTGGCAAATGGCACTTAGAAGCAAAATCAAAATGACATTAAGCACGAACATTTCTTTTTCTTTGCCAGTCTGTTAGATGAACTATTGTTGATCATTGTTTTAATGGTCATTTCCTCAAGTACTAATGAAGTTGGACATTTTTTCATATGTTTGTTAGTAAGTTACTTCTTCACTGTGAAATATCTTTCCCTATTTTGGTACTCATTGTTTATATAAAGTAGATTTGGGGGGATGAAGAGGCAGGGGAAAATTTCCATTATTAGCACATGCATAGACCCATAACACAAGTTACCTCAAAGTGGCCTCTCCTTGCCCTGGCTGGTGTAGTTCAGTGGATTGAGCACCAGCTTGCTAACCAAAGAATTGCCAGTTCAATTCTCAGTCAGGGCACATGCCTGGGTTGCCGTCCAGGTCTCCAATAGGGGGTGCATGAGAGGTAACCACAGATTGATGTTTCTCTCCCTCTCTTTCTCCTTCCTGTCCCCTTTCTCTAAAAATAAATAAATAAAATCTTTTAAAAAGTCTCCTCAGTCATACCCTTCTAATAAATCAGCATTGTGGTTTTGACCCCTTCCTTGTGGGCAAACCTAATGAATTGTGGGTAGAATCCAAGTGGCAGGACACTGTTTAAAGGAAATCAGAGGATACGATTGGGTAGTTCAAAATAAACCTGCTGTTTTCCCAGCCCAAGAGAGTAAAAGGAGCATTACCCCAGGGACTGGCACCGTGGCTCTTCACACCTGCCTGCTCTCTCTCCCAGAGTGTACTTTGGCTTTAAGAAATCTTGCCATTGCTATTTCACCTCCTCTTGTATGCCCCTGAATTCTTTCCTGTGACACCTCAAAGACCTTTCTCTCTCCAGCGATACCCCCAAAAACACCTCTAGCTGCATGAGTTTCTGGAAGCATTCCCAAGATTCATAAAAGCTGTTACACTTGCACTCATGGTTTATTGGAGTGAAAGGCTATGGGCTGAAACCAGCAAAGGGACAGGGCACAATAAGTAGAAACCCAGCTGCCAGCTCTCAGGTGTGCCCTCCCAGTGGAGTTACATCCTCAGTTCTTCCAGCAGCGGTGTCTGAGATGTGTGGTCAACCAGGGTTGCTCAACTGAGCTTCAGTCTCTAGGGTTTTGTTGCAAGACCGTCATGTAGTTTTATTAGGGTCAGTCACATAAGCTTGCAGCACTGGGTTGTTGACCTCAGCTATTCCAACTTCAGACTTCACTGCCCCCAAGTCAGAACAGGTGTTCACCATACATGTAGCTGGTCCGAGTGGAGCAGCCTAGGCTGCAGCCTCAGGCATACACTCTGCCAGGCAGACGATTCCAGAGGTTGTCTTCTAGGAGCTGAAGACAGGCCTCTCTTTGGAATGTGCAGGGTTTGCCTAACTCCGAACTGCTGAGCTAACCCCGGCCTTCCCAGTGGTTATGAGGAACAAATGAGTTAATCCATGTAACTTAGAATAGTGCCTGACTCATGGAGGCGAATAAATAAGGGTCAGCTCTCCAACCTTCTAGTGGAGCTCTGTGAGTTGAATAAAGCAGATTAATTTGGAATACAAAGAAGAAATTGCTCTGTTCCATGGATCTGATGTGGATGACATATGTCCTCAAGTTTGAAATGACATGCATTATAAAGCACATTAAGCATTTTAGCTGGGATTGCTTTGGTAAGAGAAGACCGCAGTGAAGCTCCAGTCCTAACACGCTGTCCTTTTGTCCTTCACAGAGCTCTGAAGTCAGCCACGCAACATCTCGGAGCAGAGCTGTTTGAGGAATACAGCAAGACAGCAGGTACAAGAGTGATTCTCAGTAACTACCACGTAATACTCATTTATATTGATGATTAATTCAAAATTATAGCCCCTGTTACTTAAAACACATTTTACAGAACTGCCAGTTTCTTGTCTTAGGATTTGTGTGACTCATGTTATAGCCGGCTGGCCATATCCTAATGAGGGATTGATCGATTTATTTATCCTCATCCGAGGACTTGCTTATTGACTTTTAGAGAGAGGGGAAGGGAGGGAAAGAGAGAGGGATAGAAACAGTGATTTCTGTGAATACAATCGATCAATTTTAGTTAGGCAAATCCTAGACATAACTGAGGTAAGTAAGTAATCATTGTTATTTATTATTAAATCAACCACATTTATTAAAGGCCTGTTATATGGCGAACAGTCCTCTGCGAGGCAGCTGGTAATTTTACAGAACTGACCCAAACTCACTGGCATCATCCTTTCCTTGTCTTGCAGTAGAGGTGGCACAAGATAAAGACACATCAGGATGTGAATAAACACTGGCTAATGCCATGGAGAGAAACAGCAGAGTTCTGTGGGGGAAAATACTGGGTGGCAAGGGAGGAAGCTGTTGTGGAATGGCTAAACAGAGAGTGTTTCTCTGGAAGATGACATTGAACTCAGTGTGGAAGTGTGAGGAACAGAGTCCTGGGCAGAGAGAACAGCAGGAAATGAAGAAATGATTGAAGAAAATGATAAAGCAGCTGTAGCAAAGTCACAGAGGTAGCGAGAGACATAAGAGGAAGCTGGCTAGAAAAGAGGATGAAAATGAGCATGGGAACTGGCACAGTCCCACAGGGCCTAACTGGTGCCCTTGAACCAGCTGTGCCTGGCCATGTTCTGCTCTTGGCATTTCTGTGTAATGTCCTTTGGGCTTCTCACCTGGTCCCCAGAATATAGGTGCTTTTAAATCTACCGTCCAAGCCTACCTTCCTTCATCTCCTGCCAAAGTCCAGCGCACCGGTCTTATGAGAGCAAAGAGGTTCTCAAATGCGTTCAGTGCTCTGAATGCTGGTTCTGTAAGTGTAGCAGAAAGTGGTTTGGGGTCAAGAGAGTTTGAAAATTTCTGGATATTTTAACACTCTCAGAAGCTTTAAATGCACATTAATGTATTATAGGTTCATATGATACATATGTGTGTGTGTAGGTGTGTGTGAACCATGAATTAGCTTGATAGTTCCCAAAGTCATTTCCAGGTTAACCTTAGGAAGTATTCCAAAAGTTTCTTTCTCAGACATATGCATGTTGAGGTTTCTTGTACTCCTGAGGCTGGCCTGCTTTTGAGTAACTGACTTATTTTATGGCTCTGCACATTTAATTACAATAGATAATTTCCTACGATTGAGATAAGTCAAGCCAGGAAAAAAACCTGTTTGCTTCAGTGGTTTTGCTTTGTTAGGCAGGAGAGTTTTCTTCACCAGAATTACATGGCTAATTGCTTCAAAATCGGATTATACTTTACGTGTGAAAATATAGCCTTTAGTGCCAATAAGGACCACTGCAGTACGAGCGCACTAAGTGGTTTTCAACAGCAATATTAGTAATATTTGTTCTCTTAAATCAAACAGAGGAAAACACAAAATACTGTTTGCGTCCCAGCTGCTCTGCATCATTTCTTTCCACTGAAAATGCTTATTCCTCTTGATTTGTAAAAGTCTCATAATTTAAAAAAGTATTAAAGTGAGAAAAGTGACTTGGGGTAGTGCCTACTGTAACAGCTAAGAATGATTTGATTTAATATAAATTTGGAGATTTTGTATTGGCAGCAATGAAAGTTTCAAGGCCCTGAGTATGAGAGTTAACCTCTGCTTCTTTCAGAAGAAAGATTCCTAGCATCTGTGATGGAAAGGCTATTGACTTTTTAAGATCAATTCAGTAGCTTTCAATTGGGGTAACTATTATTTTTTAAAAATCATGAAAAATTCCAGAGGGTTTAATAATGTAGCAACAAAAAGCCTTAGTTCATCCTCATGAAAGACAAGAGGCAGCTGTCCCTTAATTACTATTTTTGACATTTGCTTTTTTTAAAGATGTGCCTCAAATTTGAAATCTAATAGGAAATCTTAACTGAAAATGGATTTTAAAAAAGGAGAAGAAAGAAACAAAGATCAACATGGAAACAGAGAAGTAGGGAGAAAAGTAGAAATGGTAAATTCCAGCCAAATTGGATACCCCCCCCCCCCGCCATGTTAAAGTGAGTGGCATCCGGGGAACATGCTATTTGGCGTGAAGTTGAACTTTAACGTTTCCTCTTGCAGGAGGAATTCTCTCTACCAAGTGAGGTAATTTGTAAGCATTGTTATTTTCAGGGGTTGTGCTTTGTTCAATGTAAAAACAATGGTTTTAAAGTTTTGAGGCCTGAGTTAAATCCCAGCACCCTAACTTGTTCCCCATCCCACCCTGGACAGATTTTCTAAGTATGTTCGATCTCAGTTTACCCATCTCTAAAACAGAATTTCTAAATCCCATTTTGTTACATGGTTTATTTCTTGTTTATCTCTTGACTTAACACACTGACTGGTATGTAGTAGCGGAGCTAGATATATTAAGTCGTAGAAAGGAAGAAAACAAAGTAAAAAAAACAAAGGTAAATTTGAAGATATATAGTAATTGCTGGCATAGACTATCGAAAATACTAACATTCAGAGAACGTTATTGATTCTGTACCCTGGAGTCAAAACCTTCCTCAAGCAATTCTTTTTTTCTTGTAGATATTTTGGATTCTCTCTGCAGATTGTCAACCCCACTTAAGGGCATCGTGACATATTATTTCCGAATTGCAGCACTTTATGAGCTGTTAGGTATGATCGTTGCACGATTAATATTAGTTTAATTGAGTGAAGCTGTGAACTAATAGCGCCAGGAAGTTGGATCGCCCAGCTTGTTCTAATCCCTGGTTTACAAACTCCCTGTCTAACATCTGAAGCAGAAACAATTTCACTCATGGATAGTGCACCCCCTTCCTGCTGCTTCTCCGTGCACTCAGCTCCCGTCAGACGAGTTAATTTCCTGTTATTTATGCCTGGTCCACACGGTGGCTTTGTCTTTGCCTGCATTGCCTCCATTTTCAGTATTTTTCCCTGTTGTTCCTCGTTCTTCCTTCTTTGTCTCTCTTCTTCTTTCCCTTCCCTTAATCTATCCCCACATTTTTTATGTACAAATCTCTACAAGTCCAATCAGATATTTTCTCCTCCATGAAGCAATCTCAGGCATCTTCTGAGATTATCTGACCCCCTTTGATTTTTTTTTTTTGGCTTTTGTTTTGTTTTGTTTTCATGTGCTATTCCTGCTCCCCATCTGTGAGCCTGACAGCAAGCCAGTGAAAGCCCAGCCCCGTATGTTCACGGCTCTTTCCTTCCATCCTCGATGCACTACTCCATCCTCTTACCTTTCAGCAAAGAACCCACCAAGGGGGTGGACACATGGCATCCTTTGCTGACTTTGGGGGCTGGGTCACTGGGGGCATGAATTCAGGCCGAGGACGCCGGGCTGCAGTCCCACCATTGTCTGAGACCCGTCGGCTTTCTGAATGCATGCTTAGTTTCAGCTTCTCTGTTCCGGGGAGTCCTGTCCCTGTCCCAGGGGTCTAGGTGCTCTGACGCCCAAGACACCTGCCCACCTCCCTTTCCCTGTGGCCCTCCCTCACCGTGGGTTTCTTATCTAATTGATGATGTGGGTAGATATGTGATGCTGGGCACGGCCCCTCCACAGAGGCCGGTCCCACAGCTTCCCTCCCCACCCCAACCCCAAGCTGGAGGCAGCCCCTATTTATGGGTTCCCGTTCAGGTCAAACTTGAGTTTGTCCATTAAATCTTAGTAATTGGGACTCCTAGCCCCGACACATTAATATTTCTTTCCCAATTCATTTCTCTTAGTCTTTTATAAAACATTTCTTTTTGTTTCCTTCTATGTCTGCATTCCTCTTGATTGATGCACAGTAGTTATTATCAAAGCAGTCCAATGGTTCCTCTCTTAGGCCATTTTCCCAATTGCTTAGCCATGTCTAATAATAGTCAATATTGTTAATATTAATAATGCTAGTTATATTTATTGACAATATGCTGTATCTTCTAACATTTTTTGTTTTGTATTTACTGTTTAAAATATATACCGTAAAATGTCTGCATTTTGATGTATGGTTCTAGAATTTTTGACAAATATAAACGGTCCTATACTCACTATCACAATCAAGATTCAGAACACTTACGTCACCTCAAATCCTCCCTTTCTGTCCCTCTGTGGTCAGTCTGTCTGCCCAACACTCACCATTAGAAACCACTGATCTGTTTTCTGTTTCCATAATGCCATGTAGACTGAATCATACCGTATGTAGCCCTTTGAGTCTGGCTTCTTTCACTTACTATAATATACTTAAGATTTACCGTTATGTTCTGAAAACATACTTACATGACTTTAATCCTTTCAAATTGATCGTAATTTTATGGCCCATGTCAAACAGACAGACAAACCGATTAGGAACTGCTTTCAGGTCAAAACCCCAAGAAAAAAACTGGGGGTAAAAATGGAAAAATTCACCCTCAGATGGTTTAAAATTTCTCCAAGTGTTTGCCCCTTGTCACGATTTTCCTCCTTTTGTTTATTTTTGAAAAGCCTCAGGTTGCTTGCTTCTTGTGTGGACTTGTAGTCAGTGGGAGACACAGTGTTTAGTTGCTGTGATCCACTTCTGCAGAAGATGGAAAGACTAAAGACTTTTCATATGTGAATCCATATCTCTCCACAATTAATTAGATAGGTATTAGCATATTCTCCATCATGATGAGGAAACTAAGGGACAGTAAGGCTAAGTAAATCGTCCAGGTCCTGGAGCCTGGGCAGTCTGGGTTCCCAACAGGTCTCTTTACCAGTTTTCCACGCAGCCTCAGTTGTACTGAGTGCCTGCAGTAGGAAGTGCAGGTGAGAGGGACTCAGACGTGCCTGCTGGACCAACACAGAGGTCAGTCACGAAGGGCAGACCCAGAGCAACAACCAAAAATC